GGCTCAAGTGAGTCTCCTGCCTCAGCCTCCCAAGTAGCAGGGACCACAGGCACTCGCCACAACACCCGGCTATTTTTGGGTTGCAGCCCTATTATTGTTTTTGGCAGGCCCGGGCTGGATTCAAACCTGCTATCTCAGGTGTATGTGGCTGGCGCCTTAGCCACTTGAGCCACAGGCGCCGAGCCTTTTTTTGTTTTTTTAGAGACAGAGTTTCACTTTATTGCCCTGGGTAGAGTGCTGTAATATCATAGCTCACAGCAACCTCCAACTCCTGGGTTTAGGCGATTCTCTTGCTTCAGCCTCCCAAGTAGCTGGGACTACAGGCACCCGCCACAACACCCAGCTATTTTTTTGTTGCAGTTTGGCAGGCGCCGGGTTTGAACCTGCCACCCTCGGCGTCCTACTCACTGAACCACAGGCCCCGCCCAGAAGAGGAAACATTTTAAAGAAAAGTAAACCAAAGCTTGGCACCCGTAGTACAGTGGTTACGGCGCCAGCCACATGCACCGAAGATGGCAGGTTGGAGCCTGGCCTGGGCCAACTAAACAATAATGACAACTGCAACAAGAAAATAGTTGTGTGTTGTGGTAGGCACCTGTAGTCCCAGCTACTTGGGAGGCTGAGGCAAGAGAATCAGAGTTTGAGGTTGCTGTGAGCAATGACGCCACTGCACTCTAATGAGGGTGACAAAATGAAACTCTCAAAAAAACAAACAAACAACAACAAAAACACTTGTCCCAGGTCACATAGCTACTCAGAGAACTGAAGCCCAGGATGCAACTCTGGTGATATCCCACTTTCATCTTGCTCCCGCCTCCAACCACAATGAAGTCCAACTGTCCAGCATTTGCTAAGTCTGGTGTAGTGCTTTTACAGATACAAACTTATTTTAACTTTTGTAAAAGTTGTGTACAAAAAAACTCTTAAAAGGTAGGCGAGAAGATCCCCATTTAATATACTTTGTGTGACTCGGAGAGGTCAAGCATTTTTCCAAGGTCACACACACATCTAGAAAGTGGTGAATTGAGATTTGAACCCAGGCCTAGAGTGTAGACTCTTCTGGTGTTGGATGTATAAGAAACTCAACTGCTGGTTTGGCAGGTGTACAGTTAGGTCAGAGGGTCATATATATATATATATATTTTTTTTTTTTTCAATTTTGGCCGGGGCCGGGTTTGAACCCGCCGCCTCCCGCAGATGGGGTCGGCGCCCTACTCCTCTGAGCCACAGGCGCCGCCTGGGGTCCTATACTTTTGAGAAGTAAAAGTCCGGCCCACAGACTAAATAGCCACCCCTCATATTCCTCTTCCCTCAGGCAGCAGTCCGGGCATGCGCCCTGAAGTCAACCATCCGGCTTTAGAGCATGCCTCCTTCAGGCTCCGCCCATCTCCGTCCTGGGCCAATCCCTGGAGTGGAGGGTGGGGCCGTCACGAAGTGGGCGGTAGCTAAGGGTAGTCAGGAGGCTGGAGCCGGGCGCCGGAGTCAGAACTGCGTCTCACAACCCAGGCGTCGGTTGCTGAAGGAGAGGGAGCGAGCGATGCTGCCGCCGCCGCTGCTTCCTGATTGGCTTTGGGTGGCTATCTCTTCGTTCTGATTGGCAGCTAGTGAGCAGGGTATGTAAATGAAGGGGCTTGGGGTGAGAAGGGGTACCGGCGGCTGGTTTTTTGGGCGAGTTCGATCCCAGGGTCCGGCAGGTGCGAGTTGGGGCACCCCAGGATTGAGACTCGCGGGCCTTTACGTGCGGTCCGCCCCGGTCGGGCCGGGTGAATCACGCCGCAGCCCAAGAAGGGGGCGGAGGCGCCGGCTCCCTGGCTCCGACTGCGTGACTCACCCGCCCCCGCCGCCGCCGCTCCGGGAGGAGCCGCTTCCACTGCCGGAAGCGAGCGGAGGCCTGGAGCACACAACAGCCCGCCTGGGGTCCGGGCTTCCCTGGCCTGGGGCTGCAGGCAGGAACCACAGCTGGGACGCGCTACGGTGTACAGAGTCCCCGAGTCAGAGAGGCCAGAATCCCAGGGGAAGCCGGTCTGGGCACCGCCAGGGGGCGCCGGGATCCGGGGGGCGGAGTCGGGGGTGGGGGCTGAATTCCTGCGGTTCCGGACTTCCAGGTCTATGGAGAATGGGTGGAAGACCCAGTATGAGTAGTGTGGTGGGTCACTCTTAAAGTCTTGCTAGGTAAAGTTCTCGGGACTGGGCCCTGCAGTCTTCCTGGCCCCCCAAAGTAGGCTGGGCTAGGGCTCAAAAACGACAGCCCCACCACCCTACCCCACCCCACCCCGGTGGGGAGAAGAGTGAGGGTCGTCAAACTTATCTCAGTGACAGACCCCGGTAACCCGTCAATATTTCCCGGCAAGCCCTGTCCCCTCCGTCTCCCAAATTAAGTCCTCCGTCAACCAATTTCCTTTCACGTCCACTATCAGCTTCTGCCCCAGGCCATCATCATCTCCTGTCCCAGGGGGTATAGTAGCCTCCCAAAGGGGCTTGAGCCACAGTCTTGCTCGAAGCAACCAAGGGCGATCTTCTGGAAACCTAGTCAGCTTACAACAACTCTTCTCTCTGCATTCAACCCCCTTCATTGACTACCCACCATACTCAAAATGAAATCCAAACTCCCTACCTCTGCCTATATGGCCCTCTGTGACTGGCTGTTTGCCTGCTCCCCATCCCCCTCTCTAGTCTCCCTACCGTGTCACTCTGTGTGTCAGCCGCATTTGTGTCTTTTCATTTGAATCTCAGCCAACCTCCTGGTCTTCCTTTGCGTTCGTTGCTCCCTCTTGGACTGTTTTCCCCTGGTCCTCCCATAGCTGACTTCTCTTGCGTGAAGCCTCAGTTCAAATGTCCTCCTTACAGGAGCCTTTCCTGACCATCTCCAGGACCTTCTAGGTTCTTCCTATTGTTATCTGTACATTTCCTGTGTTTATTTACTGTTTGATACACAGTAGACATTTAGTAAATATTAAACTATATGAAGCAGCTACTTTGTAGAAAAAGTAAGGTTAATATTGGCCATTCCAGTGGTTCATTGAAGAAATAATAATGTCATTAAAGAATACTTATGGGGTGGTGCCTGTGGCTCAGTGAGTAGGGCGCTGGCTCCATATTCCAAGGGTGGCGGGTTCAAGCCCAGCCCCAGCCAAACTGCAACAAAAAAATAGCTGGGTGTTGTGGCAGGCGCCTGTAGTCCCAGCTACTCGGGAGGCTGAGGCAAGAGAATCACTTAAGCCCAGAAGTTGGAGTTTGCTGTGACCTGTGTGATGCCACGACACTACCAAGGCCAATAAAGTGAGACTCTATTTCTTTTTTTTTTTTTTGAGACAGAGCCTCAAGCTGTCCCCCTGGGTAGAGTGCTATGGCATTACAGCTCACAGCAACCTCCAACTCCTGGGCTCAAGCGAGTCTCCTGCCTCCGCCTCCCAAGTAGCTGGGACCACA